CCCCAAAACCCCAAAACCCCAAAACCCCAAAACCCCAAAACCCCGTGATAAAAAGATAGTTTTGAGAATGATAATAAATTTAATAATATGATAATAATATGGTAAGCATTCATAATATCAAATCCATGCTAGTAGAGCTCTTAGAGATTACCACTTTCTGGCTCCAACTAAGCCTCCAAGATAGTTTACTAACTAGATAATGCAACAATAATTTCATAATTAGCTTTCCTAGCTTTGGTCATTCCAATAAATGGTTCATACAATTAGGAATTTGTTATCTCTACTTAATAGAAGTCCTGATTTCAATGCCCTTGAAATATTTTTGGAAGCCCTGCTTGACCAAACCTGTGAATTTTAATATTATTCACTGTTGTAGAATACTGAAGTAATTTTTAGTTAATAAAATATTCTCTTATTTCAAATAAAATTCTCAGAGTTCTATTAATATAATTTTCAATTCAGCTTCTATAAAATAGCTCATCTTAGATAAAGAGGTTTCTAAATAGCCCGAAGAATGCAATAAAATATTGCCTGTTCACTAAAACTAATTGGAAATTTTATAAAAGTGCTAACTTACCATCTTAAATCTAGGATTGTGTAAATTCAGTTAGTTAACTAAAACTGTGAGCTCCCTACTTGGTAAAAGAATAAAATACGTTTGCTTCAACTTATTATAGCTTTCTAATTCAGCGATTTGTAACCTCATTTAAGTTTGTGGGCTTACTAAATATTTTCGAAGATTAAAATTAAGAGATAATAAAGGGATTTTAATTGACATTAAGTCTTCCTCAAGGATCAAAATCTCACGAGTGTCCCCTCATTCTAATATTGCTTCATCTATGATTTTATAATTAGATTATTCTCCTAACCTATATTTCAGTTTTTATATATCTCTCCGATTAATATTGATAGTAATCTATTTGGCCACCCAAAAATTTTACTTTAATTTTTTTCATAAACTCAAATATTTTGAATTATCAATATCACTCAAAATTAAAACCAATATACTAATCCTACCATGGTCTTTGCTTGTACTTGATGCTTACAAACTTCTGTTTAGAATACTTCTGAATCATCTGAACTTCATCCTTTCCTTGAAAATGTTTGTGAATGCTTCATTTTACTGCTGATCAACCAAATCTAAATCAGCCTAACAAAGCATGCAATCCTCAAAAATCCTGATAGCTTTAAAGAACTGGGTATTATTGTAGTCACTTTGCTTTGAATAGCTCAAATTTCCTTTCAATTTTAAGAAGTAATACATTTTTTGCTTTCAATAGACTTCATGGTATTCTGGATTTTTAGTAGGAACCTTCGAACAAATTATTTGTGATAAAATAATCAGCCTTAGCTTTGATTAAACTAAGTTTATTCTTCATAAATATGAGAGTGGAATTCTGTATTTACCATAAATTTGTCACTCTTTTCAATTTAGAAAAGTGGAAGTCTGTTAAAAACGCAAGCATGCTATCAGTCACCCATTTTAATATTTCTCTATATTTGGCCATTACAACCTATTTGGGACAGCCTTGTTTGCTGGAATTATTATGTGAATATATAAACTGGTCATAATAGAGTGTTTGCTTTTGTTTTAGCTCTAACTCCTGTTTGTCTGAGCTACTCAAGCCTTCTAAAGTTTATCACTATAGTTTCCGGCTCCATTTATTATTCGTATTAGTAAATATTGTTTCTGCACTAAGTGAGTTCAATAATATTCTTAGTTCGAATGATTACTAGTGTAAAATTAGGTTCATATCCAAATTTAAAGGTATCAAATAAAGTTCAATTGTAGTTCCGATAGTACGAGCATAAATAACTTCAAGATTTTGAGACACTAAAAGTCTATATTTTCATTTGCTATAGCTATAAAATTCTTATTTAACTTTTCTTTAGGTTTGCTTTGATCGTACAGTTGGTTCTCACCACACAATGTCCAACTGAAACAGACTTATCATCCAAAATCAAAAGCTACTCATTCGAATACTCTAACTTCAAAGATGCTTCAGTCATTAATGGTGTTGCTTGACCTGATGGCTCTTGCTTGTACCTTACAGCCAATAATCAGAAAGATAGCAAAGACATAGTCGCTATCATAAAGTTTGACTTAAGCCTTGACATCATTTGGGGGATGAGACATAAAGTTAGCATTTACAAGAACGCAATTGCTGTTCACTCGTCAGAGGGTAACTTAGTGTTTGCTGGCTATTCAGAATGAAACCTCGCCAAGGTTGACAAGTCGACCGGAGCCATTGCTGAGCAGCTCAAGATTGGAACAGATACGACTGTTGAGTGTGACTCTCTGACATTCTCCAACGACAACTCCAACATTTATGTGGCAGGAAAAACCTCTTCAATTCCCCAAGTATTCAAGGTTGAGTATACGGATTTTGGATCCGCGACTATAACTTCGATTTCGATGGGCTTGAACTCAGTGTATTCTGTTCACTCATACATAAATTCAGGCCAAGATTTATTGATTATTACTGGCTCAATGACCAGCCCAAGTCAAGCTTACAGTCTTCTTTCAGTCAAGTACGAGACTGGCATTCAGCAATGGTCCAAAAAGTTGGAGTGACCATCTGATTGAGTGCTTACTGGGGCCAATGAAGCTTTGATAGTGAACTCATTAGGTCAAGTTGTCAGTTACTTCCTCGATACAAAGCCAATCATGATTGTGGGTAGTCTTGAAGATGGATCACATATTGGGTGCTACATGCCTGGATTCACTCAGAGTGGCCTTGAGATCAGCAGCATTGCTTATTCAACTTCGTTCAGCAAAGTGTTCTTGCTGCTAAAGTATGACAGCGGAGTCTACAAAATAGAGTATGACCCAGCTGCTGGAACATTCTCAAACGCATATGTGAGTACTACAATAATACCAGGATGGATTCTGGAAATTGGAGGTCATACCATTATTGGCTCTGGAGTCCCAAGCGAAGAGGACGCAATTGCAGTGTCTCGACTTGGATCTAATGGAATATACGGTATAAATACAGGCGTAGCATTTACATCCACTAGTGATTCGTTCACTTTTATTGTTGGATACTCATATACTTCTGATTCCACTACATTTGTGACATCAAGCCCTTCTTCTGTGACAAAGAGTGCTTCTGACATTGATATAAAAAGCTTATCTGGTCTTGAACCTTATACAGAATTTGCTTTCGAGTCTGAAGTGATCTTTCAAGGAGGAGAATATACCCTTGAAACTACAGCTGGCTCCAGTGGAAATATTGCGAGTTTTTTCGCTTGTTCCATCAGTGGTGCTACCTCTGTAGTTTTAGAGATTCAAGCTCATTCAAACGGTGAGCCATTACCATCCTGGGTATCTCTTGGATCAGATTCTATTTCTCTCGATTATACAGTACCTTTGTCAGCTGGAGGCCAGTCTTTCTACTTTACTGGAAAAAGCAATGTTGAAGGACTCATTTATTTGAGAAATGCCAAAATCAGCGTTGTCGCTTCAGACCAATGAGAGACGGAGAATTGAAAGACTTGCATCTCTTCTATTTGCACAGTTTGTAATGACGGATATACTCTGACTAGCGAGAACACTTGAGAGAGCACTCCGGAGAGTACCAGAGAAAGCACTTGAGAGAGCAATTGAGAGAGCACTAAGAACGAAGAATCTCTCATTACGAATTCTTCTCTTGTTGCTTCTGGATTCGCAGGAACATTAGCCTCTACAACGGTGTCTGGATTCGTCTTTGAGTCGTCTTCTCAAAATGTGTGGGCTTTGCTGAATCAATATCAACTGTTTCTGATAATTCCATTTCTAATTGTAAAGCTGCCTAGTGAATTCAAGAGAACTCTTCGAGCTCTCCAATTTAGTTTAATCAATATGGACTTCATGAACTCTAAGAGTCTGCAGGGAATCAACACTGCTATTGACCAGGTTGATTATGAAAATCCTTACGATGAATTCACAGAAAACGAGTTTGAATCAGGAAGTGCATTCGTGAACTGATTTGACATTATTATGTCGCTATGAGGAATTGTGTTGCTAAACCTACTCTGTCATTTCACAATTCAGCTTTTTTGTAATCCTCAAAGTAGAGGGTTTTGATCCAAAGTGTACAGGTTCATTTCATATCTGTTTTACTTCAAGTTTTACCTGAGGTTCTTCCTGGAAAGCTTCTTATTTGTGTGATTGGTCTCGATCAGTGAGTTATTCCGTATTGTTGAAATCGAAAGCCACCTTCTCTCATACTGTTTGAATGCTGGAGTATTTGTATTTCTGGTGTCTTTTATTTGTCTGGTATTTGCTTGATATGCTTTTGTCAAAGACCCTCACAAAAATGCTTATGTCAATGAATTATTCGAAGGATTCAAATTGAACAAGTTTGCGAAGATGCAAAATTTCATATTCTTGATTAGGAGATCACTAGTTGTGCTAATTATAGTGTCAATGAGAACAACTAACGTGATTCCAAGACTCACAGTGTACGCTTGACTTCAATTTGCTTCGTTGTGACTCACGATATATTTGCGACCTCATGACAGAAATTATGGAAATATTGTAGAAATTATCAATGAAGTCTGGTACTTCTTGATAATAGTGATAATTATATATTTGCAAGAAAAAGAATCTGCTCTTTTGGCATTCCTCTTGAACAAGTCCATTTTGACTAACACCTGCATGATCCTGTGTGTCAGCTTAGGAAGACTCTCATATCAAGTGATCACATACTACTCTAGCAAAAGGAAGAACCTAATAAAACCTCTCACTGAGCAAGTAACAATCCAGACACGTAAAAAGATGAAGAGACACAAGAATTTAGTTGAAAATGCTGTTGCAAGGTATGAATGCTTTTGTGATTTCATTAAAAATTTATCAATTTTCCTATTATTTAAAGGAGTGTACTTTCTTCACTACTTTCGAAAATTGATTTGAACAGCAAAATCTTGAATTAGCTGTCAATATATTTGCGAACTCATTTAAAAGAGTGCGCATTTGAAATAATTCCCCTGTCTTCTCAAAGAGTGTAGAGATTTATAACAATCTACACTCATTCTCTTGTTGATTTCTAAAATTTGGGGGTGTTTAATTTGCTTCTTTTTGAAGTTCGGGTGTTTGCTGTTTATTCCTAACAAGACTCTTATCTTAGTTTTTAACTAATATTTTTTGAGCTTTTTTTGCCATCAATAGTAATGACTTGCTTTTTTTCACAAAAGTTAATCAATGCCCAATGCAAACACTAAATCTACGAGACATTCCAGTAGCACTTCTCAAAGCTTCAGTTATTTTGAGTTTAATCCAGACTCCAGGGTCAATGAGAAATCATATTTAAAAGAACATGTGTGTTTTTATTTAATCTAAGAGAGTCATATTCTTTAGCAAGAATGTAATTTTTATATTCTATAGACCTCAAATTTTCACGCCAAGAACTAACACTCCAGATACCCCAAACTGCACTAGCAAAGAACTGTCTATGCGTACCGATCGCAAATTCATGGAAGGACCCTTCGGAAGAGTCAACCCCTTGTTAGCAACCTCTAATAAACGAGGCGTCAAGAAAGCTCAGAAGAGCTTCAAAAAAGCTGGGAGCCAATTCAAACCTTCTGAAATCTAGCTAATTCAATTATGTTTTATCTGCATCTTCAAACTTCTTCGGGTTCAAAGGTACCAGAATTTTCACACCACTTTATGTTAATCGAACTTTAACAACTTTTATTGAGTTAATAATTGGGTTCAACAGTATTTCATCATCTCGGGGTTTTGGGGTTTTGGGGTTTTGGGGTTTTGGGG